GCCTCTAAATGGGCATCCATAAGCAATAAGAAATACTGCAGTTTGCTAATCTAAGCGCTCAATCAAACACATCATGATAACTATATAAACACACAAACACACACGCACACTGACACATACATATACACATTCTTGCATATCTGAACTTTGCTCAACTGGCACACATTTTGTATTTGTTTGTGTATTCCGAGGGGCTTAAATGATTTTGGGCATTTTCATTAAAGCCAAACTAATTTGCTTAGTCGGCCGACTGCATTTGATGCGCCCAAACAGCACAAAGGCAACAATTTTTGATTGCTAAAAACCTCGCAAAGCCAATGAAAGTTTTTGGCCACAGTGGTTCCCTTTCCCTCCCTCTCTCTCACGCTCTTTCGTTTTTGGCGTTTTAGCTTTTGGCGGAACTGCAACCTTGACAGCAATTTGACAGACAGAAGTAAACAACAACAAAAATGGGTGAATAATTTAGTTCCGTGCACGTGCCGCAGACATCCATACTCTGCTGCAGTAGAGATAATTTGAAGCGCCACTAAGTTTTCGTTAGTTTTAACTTTGAGAATATCTCCCTCAATAAAAGTCAATTTATGTGCATTGAGCATAGTTGAAAAACTAAAGAACTTGCACTTTGACAGTTGATGGAGCACATAAAAATCTTGTGGGGCAATTGAGAGTGGCATTTACGATAAGCACTGCAGCGAAGACTACCATATTGAATTGAGAATTACGAATGCGCCATATATTTCTTTGAAGAGAAGACTATATCGCATTCGTATGGTCATTCACGATATATGTATATATATATATATATATATATATATATATGTTACTGTTGACCCCCTCAATGATTATGATATGCTAATTGGTCTGCTAAGATTATTTTTCATATGTTACAAAAACGCAAATCTTGCCATATAATATAATGAAAGCATTCACGATATTTATATCTAGTAATTCGATGTTTTCGACCCATAGAAAATTATTGTAGCATTACAGTATTCTTAATTCAGAATAATCAGTCCATCAATAGATTCCATACTAGATCTCTATATCAAACTTCGTTGCTTAAATTTCTCAGACTGTGAGTCCCAAATTTGTATTAAGCACTTCAATATTCTAGTTTTCTGTTATTTTATAGATCTTATAAGTAAACATCAAATTCAACTGTCTTATCATAAAACATATTTGAACATAACATAAACAACAAAATTTTTTATTTTATTTTATTTTTTTATTTTAAATAAATAAATAAACAAATTTTTAAATAAATCATTTATATACTGCTTAAAAGAAAAGTGTTGCCATTAAATTTAATTAATTGTCTCAGAATTTCTCAGGAGTTTAAAGCAGCTCTTTATGAGAAAAAGACAATACATTAAGTCAAGATTTTTTACTGCGAATACGTTTAAACTCAATGACTAACAGAATGAGTTATGCTGAGCGAAGTGTGGAGGCAATGAATGGCGAAAGACAAAGAAGATATTGGAGTCACATGTTTCTCTGTCGAAAACTAGGCTATCAAACAGATACGGAAAAGCAACAAATAACGAGGAGTCGAAGAGGAAGAAGAAGAGCAACTATTGGCAAAGCAACTATTGAGTCAGTCACTTTCACTGGCAAGCGAATTGAACTGGAGGAGAGAGAATATCGCGTTTATGTACGCCTGGGGAGCGAACTCGACTTGACTTTGGCCATAATTGCTGTTAGTTGTTGGCCAACTGGCCGTCGGCCAAGCAGCCAACGCCTCTAACTTGTTTCAGTTGGGAACGTAATTTAGAACGGCAGAGCCAAATGTGATCTCCCATCATGACAGTAAATTAATAAACGTGGCCTACTCCAGTAGCTGACAGCATTGTTTATTATCATATCATTTGCAGGGCATCTCTTACAGCTCGTATTGCCTGTTGTCTGTTGCCTGTTAACTGTTGCCTGTTGCGCTGAGCTGCTTAGCGACACGTGGCTTATGAATCTATGCCATATGATACGCTCTAACAGCTTCGTTTCCAACATTGATGCCTGGGCTGATTTCAATGTACATCTGAGAGGCACATGCTCTTTCTCACTCTCTCTCGGTTTCTCAATATATTTACGCTGTCGAATTTCAATGCTTTGTGCTTCAATTGAGCAATGTTTAGTGTTCGAATTGCTCTTGAATTGAATTAAATTGCATGTGATTGGTGCGTGAATGAGTCCATTAAATGCCATCGCATATTGCATTCATATTCCCGCAGCTATGGCATATTGAAATGCAGTTTGATTAGTGCTTCACCCGTTGAGGAATTTACTCAACAGGTTTTTTTTTTTTTTTTTTGTTCTTTTGTTCTTTTTATTATTTGTGTGCTCTGATCACCCTTCGCATTGGCTTGCAGCCAAGTCCATTTGAGTCCATTTCTTTGGCCTTCGGCATGCGTCTTATTGATTGATTCAATCATGGGAACAACAGCAGCTTGTTCACGAATGACACGAATGAAACATATTTCATTCCCCTCTCATCCTCAACCTCATCCCCATCCTCAGCCGCCAACGCCTCCGCATTGGCATCTCGCAAGACACGTCAATGTCAAGGCTGTTCGAAAATGTGATTGTGACCCTGCGTCACGAGTGACGGATAATTTGCCCCGAGTCTGCGACTAGTGTCTGACACTTTGTCTTGCACTTGTCATCCGACAGAAACTACTTCTAAATTCATAAACATTGATTTATACAGCTGAATGGCATATTTTAGCGTCAAAGCCTCAAACTACTTAAGACTCGAGTTACAGAACGTGTATAGAATTTAGGATTTCCTACTGAAGATTTAGTTTTCCTTAAGTGAATACCCGAAGGAAAAATCTTTGATCTATATATATTTTTAATAAGTTATATAATCTTAATCGTAGTGATAAGCTGGCAAGATAACTAAGTTGATATAGTATAGAGTATCATTATCTTATTTACCAAGTATAAAAATAATAATAAAGTCAGAATATCATATCTCAATATATTATGTCTATAAATCTATAAGCTAAGATAAGCTAAGATCTCCATCTAGGAAAATAGTTTTTCTCTTGCAAACAAAGAAATGCTCGTAGGCCCATTACGAATCTTTCGCCAATACTATGCTGGGTATCTTCTGGTCAATAACAGTCAAGCGAATGCTATTTAAACGAATCATAAGTCTAGCATTTAATAATGTTTGACTGGCGTCTGCTCGTACACGTTTCGTGGCAGTTGATTATGTAGGCCGAGCAACCCCAAGGCTCAGTTTGAGTCAAACTAATCTCGCAGGTGTTCTAGTTTATGCGATTACATGCCTACGACCGACATAATGCGCCAAATGGCTAATTAAGAACTGCAGCAGTCGCATTTGAATTCTTGTCGTCCCGATTGCTAGTCATAGCCATTAGTCATTCGACAACAGGACACAGGACTTGCGTGTTAAATTATTGCGAGCCATTCACTTGATTATGACATAGAGCACACACACGCACACACACACACACACTCTTGCTGACATACATCCACGTAGACAATTAGCCAAAGGCGTGTCCGCAGACTTGGCCTTTGTTGTGTTTTTTTTTCTCCTTCTTCATCTATTTTGTGTATTTCTTTTGAGTTTCGCATAGTTGCGACTAGTGGGAAATGTTTCTTGCCAAGTTAGTTAACTCAAATTAAATGGCAATACAGAAAAACTATCAAACATTTCGATATATTTATATTTATATATAGTTATGTATATTTATATTTATATATTTAAGTTTAAAAATCCTTTTATAAGGCGCATAACTATTAAGGAACTGCCTAATTCTCGTTCAAAGCTCAAACACAACTAAAGTTGAAGTATTTTTATATTCTTCCAAAAGCTTTATTTGATTATAGATTCCCCTTTTGTTGTCATTGTCTTTTGGTACAGAGAGACAGACATATATCAATATTCTTTTGACTTGGTCAATGAATGAAATGATTATGCAGCAAATTTATATTTTCGCCACAAATATCTGTTAACATAAAATCTCTTTGTTAGTTTGATTATAATTAGAAGCAATTCCCAGATATTTTGAAAATTTTACGCAGCAAATTTTTGGCGCAGCTTAAAAATAATCAAGGAGTGGACGCTTGGCATGGCGATGCGCCTATTTTTGGACACGGGTTTGGGGTCAAGAGCTGGCCAAGAGTGGTGAATCCTCAGCCAGACGACATAGCATTCGCATGGCATCGCATCGCCTCGCCTGGTCGACCAGCCCCCGCGGCGCATTGTATTTAAAAATTGAATGTATTTTCGTTACTGCCAAGTTTGCCGGGTTGGTCGCTGGTTTTGGGGCGCAGCGAGGCTGCAGTAATGCGCATTGATTTTCATTCGAGCCCATCCATCGATCCGGCGAGCTACTGTTTACTACTAAATGAGTCAACTAAATCTTTAGCCCAAACTCGAATGGGAAGAGGAACGGGAACGCGCGCTTGGACTCGTACTCATACTCGAACTCCAGTTGGATTGACGCGAAAATACCTGCGAATATTGTTAATTTGATTTGGGCGCGTTGAAACTTTTTAATTAATTGCTGCGAGTCCGAAATGTTGCTTTAGTTGCTGAGCTTCTAGTACATACACCCACATACACACATACATATACAACTGGCCTGCGTGTCTGCGGATGTGCAAGTCTTGACTACTAGAGTTTGGTTTCCATCATTTTGTTTGGCCAAATGTCAAACGTGACCCAAAAGTTGTTAGCTCTTCCCTGGCTCCCACCGGACGTGACAGTAATAGGTCATGCTTGATTCGATTCGATTTTTCCTACGGTTGGCCAAAAAAACTTTTTTTATTTGATTTTGATTTGATATTTTTTATCGCCAGAATTTTTGGCAAACAAATCTGAAAGTCCGTGTTGAAAACTGTTTACTTTTTATGGTTTTTAGGTTAATCAAATTTTGCCAGATTTGCCAGAGAACTGGAAAAATTTTCAGAGTCCGGAGCATTCGCTATATTTGATAATATTTAAATGAATATTTATTAATAAAAATACTTACTTTGAATCCATAGTCTATGCGGTTTCCTACATGATTTGTTGTAATTGATTAAGTTATATTTTATATATATGTATATATTAAATAAGTACATATATTTATACACTAACTAAATTTGTAATAAATCAACACTCTTACATTGCACTAGTATTACTTTTATTTTGCATATAATTATTTATATATTTTCACGAGTATTTTTAAATCTCAAATATATTTTTATTATTCACACTCTACACTTATTCAATTTCTTATATTTACTTTATTTTGCATTTTGAGCTAATTGAGTTTTCGACAGGCTTAACTGGGCAGATAATTAGTTTTTAATTCAATTTGTCAAAACTTCACTCATTAAATTAATTTCTTGATTTATGCAGAGAATTTGAATTCAAGCTTGGTTTCGCGGATAACGCACATACATTATTTCCTGCGTGCACTTTGGACATTATTTATAAATTCTTTGAAATAAATTAAAACGTAACCAATTAACACCTTGCGACGCTAAGGAAAGGCAAACTTCAAAAAGGCGCGCTTCGCCCTGGCAAGCAGTCATCAAAGTTATTTCAGTTTAACTTTGAATACGAGGCAACGCGTCGTATACTCAACTTCCTGCCGCACTGCGACGCGTTCTAACGGCTACTGAATGGTCGTTCGGCGTTTCGCACGCCGACAGCCAAACAACGACGACAAAGATGACGACAAAGACAACACAGGCGGCAATATTTGAAGCAACAAGCACTTGTTCAGGAGCGGCTCGCGGGCTGACCCTAATGGTAAATGATGTCCATCACTGTTTAAGCACTGACATCATCTTTATATTCTATGCTAGCGTTTGTTTGGCAACGTGTTAGCCGCGCAATTAAATGTCTGCTTAATCAAATAAACTGTTTTATCTCAGCGGCCTGTTAACATCCACGAAGTCGAACCACCTGTTAACAGCAGCAGCAACTTAACTATTAACAGCAGAAAGCGCTGTTGCATGAAAGCTTTTGTTTTTCATTGTAGGTAAAGCTTTTAACCGTTTCTGTAGCATACTTTTTTAAACAACATAAATAAATATCTGTACATATGTTATTACCCGTATATACCGCGCTATATACCCACAATTGAAAAAAAAAAAAAAAAAATCATGTGTGGCGATTCAGTGTGACTATATATGTTCTTTTAAATAATAAATTCAAACTGAGGGTCTTCTCATCTATTATATTGATATTACTTTAATAATATATTTAAGAACAACAAAAAGTCGTAGGGTGTGCTTTATATTTTATGCAATGATGCAGCTATATTATTATTTCTTAAGTCTGGTGGTCTAGAATGATTTTAATATATTTTGAGTACAAATTCCAATTTCTATATTGCTATACATTTTAAATGCAAAGTTGAGCGCGTAAGTCATCAAAGCCTTTCATCGTTTATGTTATCGATAATTATTAAAAGTATCAACAGATATCAATGTTGCAATCGTGTAAGTCTGTTTTTGTAAGTTAATTTGAATACTTGAGACGGCTGGTTGCACGAGACGTAGAGCATCGCTTGCTATTCCTTGAAATGTAAATTGTATTTATATTAGTACAAACCAATAATACTCACGCATTACCTGCGACCGAAGCCTGAATCCTTTTGTTCTCTGTGGAGCTAAATTCTAGACGATTCGGGGAATAGATAATCCATACTCCTACTATTGTCACTGACCTACATATTTTGACGATATTGCTGCCCCTCCGCACGGTTCTTTGATTTAAATCCAAGCTTGGTATTTTTCTTGCCGACCTTTTGGTATATTTGCAATTGTAGTTTGCGGTCACACTACAGCTCACTCTTTGAATCTTATTCCTCGCCACGCCACGGACGGCCACTACGTAAGTGAGAAAATAAAATGTAATTTTAATTGCGTAAGAGAAATAAATCACATGCTCAAATAGATAGAATATTTGTGTTCAAATTTTTAGTTTTCATTGAATTGAGAAAATGTAAGCCAATTGTCTCCAACAAGCAACCATTGATACTCAGATGTGCATGACACATTATGTAACTCACAAGTGAACGGTGAACGCTGTGAAAATTCGCTAATCGCGCAGAAGCAGATTTAATTATAAAAACCTCTAATTTTGCATTTTCCTCTGCTCTTTGCAGCTCGGACGCAATATTAGACACAAAAAGAAGACAATATGTTCTCGTCTTTTTTTCAAGCCGCTAAAAATTCGCCATTCAAAACGCCATTCAGCCAAGCCCAGTGCGATGAGGGCAAAGCTGTCGGCCAGTCGTCGGCTTATCCTGCGGTAGGACAGTCTGGCCCCGTTGTTGGACGTGAGATCGCGGCCGCAGCAGCAGCGTCAACGGATTCTTGTGAGTTTGGCAGCAACAAATATTTTGCGCTGTGCGGTATTGGTGGCATTTTGAGTTGTGGTACCACTCACACATTTGTGGTGCCATTGGATTTGGTCAAGTGTCGCTTGCAGGTGGACCCAGCCAAGTATAAGAATCTAGTTCATGGCTTCAAGGTCACGGTAGCTGAGGAAGGTGCTGTTGGTCTGGCCAAGGGCTGGTTCCCAACTTTGATTGGATACTCGCTGCAGGTAACTGTCTTAACGCTTACATAACATCAATAATCGTTAAATCACTCACGTGTCTTGATGTATACATTTCAGGGTCTCTGCAAGTTCGGTTTCTATGAGGTGTTCAAAATTAAGTACGCCGATATACTTGGCGAGGAGAATGCATATTTGTATCGTACCTACATCTATCTTGCCGCATCGGCATCTGCTGAGGTATTCGCTGATATTGCGCTGGCTCCGTTCGAGGCGGCCAAGGTTAAGATTCAGACAGTTCCCGGCTATGCTAACACATTCCGTGAAGCAGTACCAAAGATGTTGTCGGAAGAGGGCATCGGAGCTTTCTACAAGGGTTTGGTGCCATTGTGGATGCGTCAAATTCCATACACCATGATGAAGTTTGCGTGCTTCGAGCGTACTGTGGAGCTTCTCTATAAGTGAGTAGGACAATGCGGACGTTGGGAATTTTGCTGAATTTACACTCTTTTGTTTTGATTGGCAGATATGTGGTGCCCAAGCCACGTACAGAGTGCTCTAAGGGTGAACAGTTGATAGTTACCTTTGCCGCTGGTTATATTGCTGGCGTGTTCTGCGCTGTTGTGTCGCATCCAGCTGATGTGGTCGTTTCCAAGCTGAACCAGAGCAAGGGTGCCAGCGCCGGAAGCGTTGTCAAGTCGCTGGGCTTCATGGGCATGTGGAATGGATTGACACCACGTATCATTATGATTGGTACACTCACTGCCTTGCAATGGTTCATTTATGACGGCGTCAAAGTAGCTTTGGGTATTCCCCGCCCACCACCACCAGAGATGCCCGCCAGCCTGAAGGCCAAGGAGAAGAACAAATAAATGGCTCATAATTACTGGAAACAATGAAAGCAAACAACTAAATCTTTGAATTAAGGTTAATTCAAATTCAAGATCAACCCAATAGTATAAAACGGGACGGCAAATCTAAATTAATGAGTTAGCGAAGATAACATACCATATATTAATTTAATTCTCAATGCGTGTGCATTTGATTCGCATTTTATTTATAATCAACTTTCGGCTATTATGCATTCCGATGTTACTAGTTGAAATTTTTCATAATGATTCCAAGAAAACTAATTATTTATCTAAACTAATTATAATGTACTCCATTCCAAAACTACATTCATACTATTAGTGGTCATATGTATGTTTACGTTGATAAGCCTACATATACCCTAAAATGTCTTTTGTATTCGATATCTATTTGTATGTTGTTTTTCCAAACTCAATGATAATTACCGATTAACAGGTCTCAGAATATGGTATGTAATAGATAATATAATACAACGCTTAATTGCCGCATAGAAAATTCCACAGACATTGAATAAACTAAAAAATACAAACAACAGTAAATATTTGAATTTTATTTGCGCATTTGGCTGTTGCATACACGAAACGCAGTTTGTTCAGTATATTAGACAGTTTACCTTTCAGATAACCCGTGAACCTAACCGGAAATGCTGCTGATATTTGAAGTTCATTTACGATTTCAGTCTTAGCTAATATGTAAAACAATTTCTTAAGAGTGCGAACTTGAAATGTCGGTTTAATAAAAGGTATATAATCATCCATTCTTCTCCATTTAGAAGTCTACCAAAGTCAAAGAATGGACTATCTCAGTAGCAAAACGAACAATTTTCTAGTTCCGTTCAGCTAAAACTATAACTTTCACCTCAAATATTAGCTCGTGGACTAATGAATATATAAGCTTGGCTAATCTTGTTTTTCATGAATTAATATAATAAGTTTCGGTAATAAAAATATCTGTACTTTGGTATGGTACACCATGATTACACCTTTCTTGAACGGTAATTCTTTCTTTTCATAGTATACATATACATATATTAATATGCGTAAATAGTTCACCAATAAGTAGTCCAGCCCCAGGAATAGCATACAATCTGGGTTAATGCATTTGAAATAAAAACAATTGTATATCTTTTTTTTTTTTTTTTTTTTATATATATTTAATCATTGAAAATAATTATGTAACATATTGGTTCGTTGTATCATAATTTCTGTGTACATATATTGGGTTGTAGATGGCGTTTGTTAAAAACTAAATAATCATTAAGTTTTCTAGAAGAGAATTAGTTTTTCTCGTCAGCTGTTAAGAAGCCGGGAAGTGGTATTGGGGCTTATAATTAAATAACCGCTAGGCACTAGAGCTAGGTATTTTTACAAAACTAAACGCGTAGGTAATGTATAAATGTATTTAACAGGCAATTTTCTGGTGCATGATTTATCTATATTGTATACACATATCTGTTTATATATGCATATATAGATATATACGTTCTATGTACAAATCGCTTAATTTCTAGGTTTCAAAGTCGGGTTGACACGCATGAAAACATTTAGAGACACAGATCATTTATTATGAGTGATGTTTCGAATCATGTTTTGACTTGTAGTATATTATTTTATTATGACGTGTTTTTATATGAGGACGTGTTTTCCATAACAAGCCATTTCAGTCTTAGAGTTTCAAATAACCAAAATAATAATTAACAAAAAAAATTCTTATAAAATTTTCTGTGCAAAATCTTAATTACTAAATTTTTGTATATTCTTTTAGAGTTTTTGTTTTTCTGTTTCTTCATTTGCATATAAAGAGAATTTCGAAACAATGGTTTGCTAGGATAACTCACGCTTTTCTTTATAGTTTTTCTTTTTTTCTTTTTTTTTTTTAATTTATTATTACTTGAGCTGTTTCGTTTTTAAGCTAATATCAGTTTAGATGGTAGACAATCACACAGGCATACAGGTAAACATAAGAGTACAGAAAATAAAAATTGATATCGATATCGTGACACAATCAAACGGACTACAACAAATATTTTGGAGATATGTATATGGGTATATGGATATGGACCTTGAAATTCAATGAGCTTCTTCATATTCTTTTCTCTTCCTTCGCAAAACTCAATTGTGCTTAAGATAAAAGTAGTTTCTGTTTGATTGTATGTAGAAAAAAAACCTCAACTCAATGGCACCTTACCAGATTCTGGCTTAAGAAAATGAATGAGGTGTGGTACGATAAAAAATTACGAATTGTCGCTCTCAATATTGAAGGACGTAACATTTAGAGGCGATTTCTGGGTGGAGCGCCATTCGGCATGGACATTAATCAAACTCCTCGCGCAATCGAACCATCGGGAGAATCACAATTGATCCCAGTGTCCGATCCAGCCACAGACCTGCTCAGCTATACGATTAGCTCGCACTTCTATACTATATTTAACTATGTATATAGATGTATATATGTTCTACCAATATGGCGTATTTGGTTCCTGGGTCCAGTTGTTCTGTTGTGCTTTGGCAAGTGCATCGGTTAAAGTGGATCGCATTTGCTGGCTGGAACTACGATTTTGACCCTTATCATAGGGCGACAGGGCATTGTAGTAGAAGGGCGATCGTTTGCTGATGGTATAGTTTTTACCCTGATAAGAGATAGAGATGGGAGACATGTTACTTGGATAATTCTTGGATTTTGTTCCAGGCACTTACATCATTATTATCCCAGAATTCTTTATCATTTGTGCGATAGCAAATGCAGAATTCCAGACGCTTAGAAGATGGCGGCAGCGTGATCTTGAATGAGAATGTATCGAAGACAACGTGGGCGCAGGTGGCGGGGCCGTAGGCCCTGGCATATGTGCAAAAGATGTCCTGCTGGCTCTTCCAGTTGTCCCAGGTGACGCGCACAATGACTTCCTTGGCGAAATCAATGTTCTTCACCTTGATGGTGCCCACCACAATCGATTCCTCATCCTTTACAATGACATTCTCCAGCGAGACAAAGTCACGTTCGATCTTTTGTCTGTTGAGCAATATGTCAATGGGTAAGTTCATGTAAGTTTTATAAAAAGCGGAGGTTTATTTTACCTGAATGTCAAATAGTCGGATGCTGGCTGCTTAAAGTCCACGGTCCACTGATCCGGCGGATGCGGACTGACTAGTCCCTGTGTGATCTGCTCCAAAAACTTCATGCTCCAGTATGGCGGCACATTCGAGGGCTCGGACATCACGCGCACCTCCGTCAAAGACAGACCCTCGTCGTCAGCAAAGATCACATGCTTTTTGGGCAAGTGACTGAAAATAATAGAGAAAATAATAGAGAATTCGATTAAAGAGAGTGGCTAAGAGACTTCATTTGATTTGTAGCTGAAGCAGCTGGTTGCTTGCCAAAGTTCCCAAATATTTAACTAATTGAGAGGGATAGAAAGAGAGAAAGAGAGAGAGAGAGAGAGAGAGAATTTTTGCATTGCAGTCTTGAACCTATCCTTATCAGCTCTCGTGTTTTGGACCCCCTGTCTTTTACGATTGTTATTTTTACTTTTATGCACTCAAGTTTATTGTCTTTTTTTTTTGGAATTAATATTGAAATTGCGACGTTGCATTTGATTTGTTTATATTTCTTGCTTTTATTTTTAGCAAATCGATGTTTAAATTTGACAAACACAAAGTCAATTGGGATATTTTTTTTTTTTTTGTTTGTTACTTTGTGACCTGCGTTGGCAGGGAATCGAGCTAATCGGAAGCTGTCACCGCCCATTGCCAATAATTTGGCATTTAAACATTTCGTTTCTTTCCCTACAAAAAAGACATTTGAATCTATAATCTTTGTGGCAGCCTTGTATACTAAAAGACCTGGTCAGCTTGTATTGGCGTCTAATGAGATTATTTGTATTTCTTTACGTTGCACAATGTAGACAGAAATTTCATGTTTATTTTATTTTTAATTTTACGTCACAGTTTAGTAGGCGCAAACAAAATATTTCTGTATATATGTATGTATATATATTGTGCTATTTTGGTAGCCACGTACCAGATTTTTATCCAGAAAAATAAAAACAAATAAATAAACGGGAGACAGCACATTGCATTAAAATATCTTATTTTATGACAGGAAGTCGACATATTTCTGCTATATTTGGAGATAAGTACATTATACCCTTTTTTTCGTATACCCCTAGAAGTACACTCTGCTAAAACTCGTAAGTGTATGGGCCAGACCTTTCTATCGCAGCTACTAGAGATATAAGTATATATATAAATGTATATATTAACTGTAAGAAAGAAGGCATGTCTATTGCAGTGATAAGATTAATATTTATCAAGCAATTTGTTAGGCAATAAATTTCTTGTATTAAAGTTTGTCATAGAACTAATTGAGCTGACAGGCCCCATAGAACTGTCTAAGAAGTCCATTTCACACAATAAATATGCTAAAAGGTAATTAAACATATTTTTACTTTAATGAATAGCAAATAGAGTAATATGGTAGGAATATGTTTGTTTATCCCTCTCTCTCTCTCTCTCTCTCGCTCTCGCTTTGTGGCCAACAATTGCTATTGTGGCTATTTGCTAAGTTAACTCAGTTTATTAGTCTGACGCCAATATCAAACAGCCGGCTGTTCGAGCTGCCAACGTTTGCTGATCGCCGATCGCTGATCACGCGCTGAAGGCGTGTGCACTAGTCTGTCTGCCTGCCTGCTTGCCTGGTTGCCTGCTTGCTGCATTTTCTTCAACAGGTTTGGCTTTTTATGAATTTTTTGCTCGATGTTCGGGCGATCGATTCGATCGTTCGATCGTCTCTACTTTGTGTGGGCACCGCCTCGAAATCTTGTCTCGTTTTTTACGCGTTACCGGTGTCAACTGCTGAATTTGTGGCTGCGGCGTTGTCGCATATCAAATTTAATAGATTATAATTTTTCCGATTTTCCAGTGCACATTTTCCATGCCGTTGCCAGACGGGTCTTATAGGCCAGCTTGGCTTGAGGAAGCAGCGAACATGGAAACGAGTTTACATTCCTTTTTTGTTTTCTCTTCTTCTGCTTCTTGCATGTATTCATTTACATATCTATATATATGATCGCATTACCCCCAAAATAAATGCATATGGGTCCGGTTGATGCCCAGGCACAATAAAATAAGGTGCGACTGCTTAATATGCACTGCACAAAATGTAAGAGAAACAAGTTTTCCAAAACAAAGAAAAAAAAAAAGGGATTACAAAAGCGCCTCCAATTTTAGAAAATGATAAGACAGGTATTTCAGGTGAAACCTCTTCCGACACATAGTTGGCTTATCGACAGTCCTTATGTCCGCTAAACAGACATTTATATGAATATGACCTTCTCAAATATTGCGTCCGACGGTCCGTCTGGTGACCTTTACATACAGCCTTGTCCGAGTCTTGAACTCATAATTACGACAAGGTGGTTCCGTCTTTAAAGTCTCGGCGCTCTTACTTTTACTTACGCAAATTGCTCACGCTTTGCGGAGAGCGCACAAAATTAGATTTTACGTGGGTGACACAATAATTAGTTGAAATCATAAATATATACATATACATATATGTGTATATATATTATGTATGTGCATAGCTGTGTATTACATTCAGAACACACATTTACAGATTTCGTTTTTGAAATCTTTTCGATGCTGTAGCACATCAGAACACGTGAATGGCGCATGCACAATCTATCTATAAATACTCACTGCCTACATCTACATCTTATGGACCCATGTAATTATGTATGTACATGTGCATGTGTATTTTGAAATATGCTTTTTATATAGCCGAAAAGTCGACACGGCGCAATTATCAAATTTTTAGTTTTGTGAATTCTGTCGTCTGTTCTGTGGCCTTGGCTTGACCTGGCCCGTGTCTGTCTCAGTGAACTAATTAAAAGTGTGGCATGTCTTGACAGACTCGTGGAAGGAAGTGGAATTCTGATTCTGATAAATGACACCACAATTAACGGGTGAAGGAATCGAAATATTTTAAGAGCTTTCAATCTATAATCGCCGGTTTTCATTACAAATATATGTAAATGTAAATTTAACTTAATGACTTTTTATGACATTCACTTAGCTCATAACGTCAACTCGATATATTCGGCAAATTGATGTAGAAGGTCTTTCAGCGAGATTCAAATTGAAATATCAGTATTGAAAGTAAGAAATATGCTAAGTTCTATTGACCTAGAAATTCTTCAATAAGATTAAAACTATTGATAAATATCGATTCTAGAAGATTAAACGATGGGTGTTTTATATAAAAGTATCTCTATTGAGATCACGATAAATATAGATTCAGAAATACCAAACAATAAATATCGAATAAGAAATATCTTCTAGGGCGCTTTACATTGAAATGAAAGCAAGGTAGACTTTAAAATGAACAATAAATATTGAGTTTCCAATGTCTATAAAAGGTTAAGTTAGCCCATACCAATCACGACTCTTAAATAACTGCTATTAAGGTATTCAATTTTATACAGGGTATCTGCTAGTCACATACTTTTGACTACCTCTGCACCTGCAGTGGATGTAATTAGTGCAATACACAATCGTAAACACACTCACTCAAAAAGTATTACTAACATATGTGTGTGTGAGTGTGTGTGTCTGGTTTACATTGATAATAGGCATGCGTGTGTGCGTGTGTCGCCATCGCTTTTAGGTGATATCAGCTGGTGTTTAGCCTCGTCTAGACATGGCCTCACCAAAAATAAAATCTCTATAAAATGAGCTCCAACTGATCTGTGTAGTTGCGCCGTATTTTTCTTTTATTTATAGCCAGTTTTTAAAATGCCAAATTCAAGTGCATTGCGAATCGAAAGCGAAATTTTAAATGTAAAAAATAAAAATATAAGTAAAAATAAAAGCATAACAAACACTCTCTGACACTGTGAATTCTTTGGAAGATTAAAAATGGTAATGACCGGATTTGTAAACTCTCTTCCTTCTGTTATCTCATTTCATATTTTGCTATCAGATATTTCGAGTACATGTTTGAGGTTATTTGCATATGTCGCATCTAGTATATCTACTTTTATTATGTACTCTATCTCGGCGTCATGCGGTCGCTGTGACGTCCATGGGATCTATAAGGCCAGTGCCAAACGTAATATTTCGATTTGTTTTCGATTTGTGTGTTGGGTTCTCTTGAGTTCTGGCCAAATTTGGCACAAACGACTTGGCCGAGTCTACATTCCTACTATTGAATTTCACTTTTAATCAGACTCGCAGTTCACATGCCCCCAACCGCAATCTAGTTCAACTTGCGGTCGGGGGCGTCAAAAAAGTCGACGGCGCCATTGCGACGTGACGTCAAAGGGATCGAGACTCGGATTACCGAGACATTATGCAATCTGCATATAGTCAGCTTACCTTTGCTTGCAGCTGGCCAATCCGTCCGAGTCGCTGCTTGCTTCTGTTGGCTCCGCACTCTCCGTGGGAGCGGCATCTGTGCTGGGGATGCTGGGGAGCTGGTTGGCTTTGTGCAGGCAGGATTTGCGGCTGAGGCACGATTTGGGCTGTGTGTTGAGCGCTGGGGCAGAGACCATGCGCTCCAGGTAACTGCGGCCAGAGCGGCTGCCCACGCCGAGGGGCGTGCCACCTGTTTTGGCGGGCAGCTGTTGGCCCTGGGCAGCGTTGGATGCGTTGTTGACCATGGCTTTGGAGGCCAGAGTAACGGCTTGAGGGCGGCAATAGCGCGCACTCAGGCTGTTGGGCTCGTCATTGTAACTGCAAACAGAGCAAAGATCAGAAATTTCTACATGAGTACGTCTGTTATGTACGTCAATCATATCTGTATAATACTTCTATAAATACAATATATACATATACAGATATCCGTATAGGTTCTTAAATAATGCGCGCATTATAGCGGCAATCGTACGAGCTTGGGGCCACGCGGCGCTCACGTTTACTTTCTTTTTATCAGCTTGATAAGGCTGTCTTTATTCTGATCCGTCTTTTATTTCAGTGAGATAATAGCATGGCATTGTTCAGTGGCCATATACATATTTACATACCTACATATACATTCTACACTATCTATAAAGAAATAGCGCCAGGCTTCTGCTATTATTATTATTGATAAGCGCAAAAGTTGTTGAATCTATTACGCACGACCTCTGCTCTTGATTTGAATAGTACCCCGTGGATAGGTTTTTGCCTATATATGTACATACATATATACACATATGTCTAAACATATTTACATATGCTTGTGTCTATTCAAATATGTTTTACTCTCTGGCTGTCATGATTCATCATAGAGCTCTAATTTTGGAAACACCATGGGATAGTATTCAACTGTTTGCAATTTTTTCGTTTTTTGCTGATTCATATCAAAAATTTTATTTCGGCTAGACATAGGCTAACTATAAAGTCAATGCCTGATAAGCCAACTCTTACGATTTTTTCATCATCTATGGAACTAAATTTTAATTAGTTCATTGCCAATTAGAGTTTGTTACTTTACAGGTGATAACAAATTTCTTTTTAGTGGCAATCAATTTTTAATTGTCACTATTTATGAAGTCCAATCATATTAATACAAACAGCAATTATAGGAATGATGATGATAATAAAAATATATTAATGGGAATACATCTAATAAATAAAACATAAATACTAATATAAGTGTAATTAAAATTATATTGATATTAATAAAAATAAAAAATATGTCAATATTAATTATAATAACATTATTTACAATACCCACAGATCTAGTTAGAACAAAATAATAACAATACGATTTTTGAGTACGCTTAGAGTAACATAAATCATTTGAGAAAATACCAGATCTTTTAGTTCGACTGAGATAAACAAATTTATATTTTCAGTAACTGCGTAGGTTTCTTTTTTAGGCCAGTTGCTATTTATATTATTAACTATATGTTGTTTCAGACGATTTTAGAATTTTTATTATTCATATATATAGCTCGAATATTTTCTGATATATTGTATAGCTATGGCTATTAAAAATGTCAGCTGATTGATGCAACAAATGTCTGCGCAGCAAATAAAGCTTCTAGCCGACGATCGAGCATGGTTCGAGGCAATTGCTCCACAGACCCCGTCAAACAGTTGGGAACCAGTAAATTTCACTCTCTCATAAAACTGATATTTTTTTACTCAAGCGAAATTCTGGCTGTCAAGTTTTGCTCTCGAAATCTGGGCAAAAAAATAAAAATAATAGTTTGTTTTGATTATGCCATTGCCTTGATATAGAATGCTTTTTAAATGCTGTTGTCAACCGAAGCAGAGGCAAACATATTTTTATTTTATTTTCGGTACATTCGCATTGCGTCCTATCTATATGGAGGAAATTTCATTAACCCTTTTGCACCTGTTGCAGTACCTTATGGCGTAACGCAAATTGTAGTCTGTCGTAGATCCGACCTTAGTAATACTTCTATGTATTGTATAAGTGAAATATCAATATTTATCCATATGAATAATCAGACAGAGACTGAAAGGTAAACATCCATATTTACTTTAAATACTGTATAATGCAATCGGGCTCATTGTTTATATTGTATTTTAGGAATGAAGGTATTTTGTAACGGCTTTATTGAGTATGTCAAAATGGAGACGTCGAGCTCTTAGCACAGTTTCATTACAGATTAGAGATAAATAAATGTGTATATCTATAAACAATTTCCTTGCATTTCTGTTTATATTATCTTAAAAATGTATTTCACTTGGGTATTACTTTTTTATGGTAGGTCTTACTGATGTCATAAATAATATCGCATATTTTCCGATTCGTTATTGATTATGTATGTTATGTAATTTAATCTATATTTTAGACCTCAAAGAATTTCATTTTTATTTTGTAATACACCATTTATCAGAGATTTACTTAATCAATTTAACAAATGTTTTCATTCCGTTTTTTTCCGTAAGACACGTAGGCAAAATTTTGAATATATCAGAAAATATTTTTCGCTATCTAATGATAAGAGAAATTCCACAATTTATATTTAAGACGTGAGGTTAACTCGAAGACGGAGAAAGTTTTCGTTTATAGCGTTTTAGCAAAATAGAGAATTATTTTTAGGTGTACCTATACTATCCACAAAAAAAAGAATAAAATTAAAGAATAAATAAATATAATTAAAAACAATTGAATTTTGATTCGTTGCCGAATCTCGTGTATTCAATTGAATTCAATTAGTCAACCCAATTTCCTTTCATAGTCCGAAAATATATTTGTATTTTATTTTATGAAACTTACTTCAGGGGTTGACGTTGATGTCCGCTCATATAGTCCGCTAGGAAACTAACGGGTGGACTGTGACTGAATATGGGTGGACTGTGCGAAATCATTTTATAGATGGATTTTCTCTATAGATCTCTAACAAGGAACTCTGATTGATTGTAATTAGCAGCAGGGCCTGTAAAATTAGAACAGAAATTGATAAGGTAAGAATCTTAAACGAAGCGTAAAATGTTAATTGGAATTAGCTATAAACAAAATGCTTGAATGCAAACGTTTATAAAAAGCGATTCTAATTAGGATTGCAATGGAATATTTATTATTTTATGGCAATATTTGTATACTTTATACAGTTTGTTTATGTTTTAGTGAGCTGCTGATCAACATGGGTATTGCCTCGAAAACTTACCGTTGCTTTTTTATGACTTTGTTGTGTATTGCGCTCTCGTTCCTTCTCTCTCTTTTCCTCGCACTCTCTGTGTCTTCTTCTCCTGCTCTCCGTTTATATATATATCAATCTCTCTGTATTAAGGAACTTTTTCTGGTATCACTTTTCTTTTTTAGCCCAACTTCTTCTTAGAGATTTCTTTTCATATGTGCATCACGCGCGCTGTTCATGGGTTTGGCAACGCGCGTCAGACAATGAATTTTGGGTTGTGTAAAGATTAAAACTTTTATTTATTTTTATTAAAAATTTCAAATTTTCAACACACAGGCACACACAATTTTGGCAGCACCGCACAAAACAAAACGACAAAACGGATTAACAATAATTTAAAATTATTGAATTATTTCCCCCTATTCTTTAGGAAGTAAGAATTCGCGCGTTTTTCTTCTTAAGTTATATATGATGTTATGTTATTTTTATTTTTAGTAATTTATTTGTGGTTTCAACGACACGAGCAATTAGGACCGCATCGCGTTTTGTTATTGCCAGTTGCACTCCGACTGTGAGTACCGTTCGCCTCGACGACTCAAAGACGAATAACTGATGTTGTTAGAGCAGCCCGCCGCCAAGACTGGCGGTCGGGCCTACCCAACCAACCACTGCGATCCCAGCAGAGAGCGCTGAGCGCTGTCGTCGTATGCTCTGGAAAGCGCTCGCTCTCTCTTGCTCTCATTGGCAGCCTCTGCCGCCCTCTCTCGCTGTGTCCGTTATTCTCGCTGTGAGCGTGTGGCTGCATTTTAATGATAGTGCAGCTATATGTAGTTGTTGTTGTTGTTGCTGCTGCTTTTACAGTTGTTGCTCTGGCGTTCAGTTCAGTTTAGTTTAGTTTAGTTAGGCTCGTTTGGTTTGACAGCGATTTTCGTCAGGCTAGGCGCCGCCACAGAGCCAAAGTCACTCAGTCAATCAGTCAGGCTGAATGGACATGATCAGCGAGCAGCAATGATCATTAGCTCGTGCGCGCGTTTTCGAAATTTGTTGTTTTATTAATAAATGCGAACACTCGTGCAACTATTCACACACATCGCAACACATTTAGTCGTTATGTCAAACAACTTTCCATATTATTAAGAGTGCCTACGTCTGCAGTTTGTAGCCAGCTGTTTTGCTTTTTTCTTCAATACGTCATCCTTTCCCCAGGTCGATAAAAAAAAACAACAAACCAAAACTCACCGAACGAGTACCCACTCAATCGTTTGAGTGCCCACAACTACTTGCTGACGTTCCAATGGTTCGAGTGGTTTTCCTTTGTAAGGTCTGGGGGATAATACATACCTTCATACTTACATACATAGTTGGCTGCAATCGTGTAACCCATACACCTTTACGGCCTACGCTTTTCTTTATGCAATTTATGTAAAACGTAACGTAAAACGTTGTCTCTGTCGAGTCGAAAGCTCTAAATCAATTATGCTTTTTTGGGGGAATTGTGTAAAAGTTGTCGCTTCGTAATCTCCTCTTTTCATCGACTTTCTCATGCGCTACGTTTAAATGCAGCTGGCATATTGATTGTGAAACGTGCATGACACAATCGTAGTGCTTAAAATTTTAACAACTAAATAAACAAACACCTGGAATACGTTTAAATTAAAATAAATTTCAAACATGCATTTTGAGGAGTACAAATTCTATTTATAAATTCAATTAAATATATCATGCACTTAATCACAAGTACTGTTACTTTGTGTTCATAGGAGCTAAATGTTGAATCACAATTGTCCAGTACTTCCATTAAAATTCCATTTAAAATGACTTAGGAGCGTTCCATTTTGTGATTTAAAGTACCCACATCATTCGAAGCATAGATGACGACGACAACTCTCTGAAATTTTCGATGGTCTCTGCCACGCATCGTCGGGGACTGAATCTATTTCTTGTTGCAGTGCATAGAAAGTGGCATAGCGTGAAAATGTGTATGTGTGCATTGTATGTGTGTATGGGTATTTGGTGGATGGCGTGCGTGACTCGTTGACATTCAGAAATGGCGGCCTAGGTCTTAGTCGTGCCTAGGTAGTCGACGAAAATGCTCTCACGATGCGTGATCTTTCAAGTCTCTAATGATAATGCAGTTTTGGTGAGTTTCATGAGGAGGGCTCTAACAAGTTATTTGCTCAAGTGTTTCGATTGATCTGTAACCACTGTGCCACTTTCGAGGGGTGTCGCACACGCCGCCCCAAGTCCAAGCAACTTATTTGCTTTCGAGCCCCACAGCATCAGCAGTCTGGTTCCAGAGTGCACAAGCCGGCCGGCCGGCTGACTGGCTGGCTGGCTATTAAGCTAGCTATCTAGCTGGCTGTCTGGCTGTCTGCGTGTCTGGCACTTGTTCACCTAGTCTCCTCTCCTTCCTGACCACCACCCGATCGCCTTGGCTGGAAGCCGGTTCAGCCATGCATCGTTTCTGGATTCGTCGTCGCATGCCGCATTTTTTTCCGGCCACTTCATCAGCATTCGCCTATATACCATTCCCATATGCAGGCCGATCTTCGTCTCCCTTTCTCTATCTCTCTGTCTCTCTACTGGTGCAGTGCCCTTTGAAGCGTTGGCCATGAAGTACACTTGAAGCTCTGCAAATATCATATATAATATAGCCAAGCCAGCTGGTTGTCTATTTCTGTTATACGTATGAATGTAAGTGAATAGACTCTTAGGCGCACAGCGGATGTGATGCATTATTTAATCGACGACTTTCCATTTTTTGCCTGTTTTGCCATAGTACAAATGATATTAGCTTAAAACTAGTTTAAATACTATAATTATTAACACTTTCTAGCAGGAGACATGGAGGAAGAAAGTTAATCAAAATACCATTTTGAAGGCGGCAAAAGATTATAATAATCTAAAAGAAATCGATTTTACATCTATGTATGTATATCTGTATCTGCATATGCATCAAACATAGGGTTGTTCGCAGAACTCAAGTGTACTTTGATATTGATATTTGATAATTTTTCGAGCCGGGTAGCACTCTCTGACTGCGTGAATGGCAGCCAGTAACCGATGTTAACACACATTTCTTCGCTGGAATCAAAACAAGAGCCACGTTGTGCCCTCGACAGAGCCAATCCAATTTCAGTGAATAGAAAAAATATAAAATATTGCAAAACTAATGTCCACGTTGTCTGGCAAAGGGTCTAGACCCGAACGCCCAACAACCTGCTGATGAAATCAGCCGAGCCGTCAATATCAGCAACATCAGCGGCGCCATTAGTGAGATTAGTGAGGTGATAGTCAGTGATTATGTAGTCTATTAAAAAATGGGCGTACCTAGAGCTTGTTTAGCTGTGGAACTGTGTAAAACTGTAACGTATACTCGATGCCCGCCCGAAAGTTTAAATTTAGAAGCGAGGCGTGTGACTTGACGCCTATCAGCTCTTATCAATGCAGGCAGAGCGCGAGATCTGAGGTCGAGTTGGGACGGGCGCAAGGGTAGCTGATAAACTGCGCAGCATAAACTAAACACAGAATTCATATATAGAATGAATTTATTTTTGGCCGAGAAAAATCATGCCGTAACTGACCTAGAGCATCTGATCGCGGCGTGATCAATTATTTGGCAACCGATCATCCCCTCTCTCTGGCATAGCGGGAAATCGAAATCGATTTGAATAGCTAAAGGAATCGGTTCGCATTAGAGTCGTGTATGTAACGCCGTTTAATCATTTCAAATAACGGTTATCGTTGGCGTGAGGGTCAATGGAATAGGCGCTTAGAAAATGTAATCGTCGATCGATTAATATGTGTGTTATTTTTTGCAGTTTTGCTTCTGTTTTGCATCGCGTAATATTGCCTCGTAATTTTCCATTGTAGCTCTCGCTCGAAACTTAATTATGCGATTTATTATGCAAATATATACGTTCATATGTCTATATGTATATGTATATATGAATGTATACAATTAAGCGTCGCAAGTCTACATCTATTTAAAGACGCGGGCCTTGTTTGTGGTTTGGTCGAAGCCACGAACACGAGCCGATCACGTTTTTCACTTGTGCTCGATCGACACCCTCGATCGAGTGGAGCAGAGTAACGCCTAAGTAAACACCCAGAGCAAGTAGTTTGAGAATCTGAAAAATCTGTTTCATTGACATCGCAGAGACGCGACGTCTACCCGTAATTATGATATCGCTCATAGCGGCCCATTGTGTCTGCTGATAAGCGCACCCACTCCTCGCCGAACTATGTAACAGCCGAGACCTAAAAAACAAACTCTTCTGCGCGTCATGTCCATAGTCGAGCGAACAGTTCGTAGTCTTATCAATAGACAAACTATTGAAATCATGTATACTATATATATGTAAAGATATTTCAGTTATTTTTTCGGAATGAGGCTCTAATTATAGTCTGCAGCAATCCAGACGAGACTAGCCACAATGTTTGCCCATATGTCTGAAATCTGTTTGCTCAGCTATTGACAGAGGCGAGCAGCTAATTGAGTTCTTAAGTTTTGTTTGCTCAGATTAAATACATTCTAAGTTCAAGTAGTAAACAGGTTTACTGACATTTCAATATTAATGTTATTATTATTATTAAAACCAGTGAGTATTAAGACCAGTCAATAATAAAAATAAACAAAAATAGAAGCAAATGTTTAGGCTGTTCCTTTGATTATTTTCTTGGAACCTTCTACAGATTTCGTAGAAGAATGAAGAAAGTCGCAAGTAATTTAATATAATATTTCAAAATCCATTTCTAAATATTTGAATTTACTATATTTAAAAAAACAATCCAAACTATGATCGGGAAAGATATTTTTTACTATTTATAAATATAAAACTTATGCTCAGCATACGTTTTGAGTTTCATTCCGGTTCCGGTTTAATGGGACATTAACATAAAAGCGAACGAGGCAAAAAATGAGAAAAAAATAAACATGTTCGAGCATTGCATTCAATGCTACAGCCGTGCAATGCACTGCACAGATACATAGATACGAATGTATCTGAGAGCTGGCGAGTGCTAGAAACGCGTAGACTAGACTCGCCAATGCGTCACTCGTATAAACAATTTACAAAGCGTGTTGGGGCAGGTAAATAAGTTTACAAACACACACTCACACACACTTGTATATATTGTGCATTTGACTTACTCGACTCGCAAATATTCATATGAACTGAAAAAAACATTAACCTTAAGTTGTATATGAGATATATCGAATCATTAAATAATATCGTGGCAATTTGCGTAGTTCATTGAACTCTCTTAATAGATGGTCCCCATTGGGGTTGCAGTTAGTTTGTTTATTTCCCGTACTATTTGCATGTTTGGCAAACTTAATTGTTTATTTGCTGGCATTGCTGCAGCATTGTATCTTATGGTTCGCTATACTCGTTATCAGGTGAAAAGTGGGTATATTGGCTTTGAACTATGTGCTTATAAGCAAAGGGCTTTCATTTTGCTGGTGACTTGTATTGAATTAGCTGGAGAGTAGTGGTGGAAAATCAACTTTTGGACTTTTCAATATAAAATATTTGAAATAAGAAATTTTTACATCTGTATATGACTTTTTGAAAAAATGCTTACACATGATATATGTAAAGATAAAATGGGTCAATATTGTGACTAGAAAACTGTTGAAGATAGTGATCCTTAATTAAATAATGATATACGCATATGCAGTCGATTGTGAACAGCTCAAATATTTTTATTTGTTTTTTCTGTTCGAGGACTGTTATTAAAAGATATAAGTGCATGCCTAAGCATCATCAGTTTTTGATGCCCATGAATAGAGTAACCTCAGTCTCTGCCATGTGATTTTCCTCCATTTGACATATACTCTTAAATAGCTGGCTTTTTTGTAGCACCCATTCGTCTCAACTGGGTCACCTTTTGGCTTATCAGGGACATTAATGCTGATTAAATGATGATTATATTGGCGTCTTTATAAAAGCGTTTATAAATAACTAGCGATAGGAGTGCAATTTCCTTCATGTCAATTTATTTCCATTATCATTAAATGCGAATTAAGAGTAAAACGAAATCAATAAACGAAATTACGATCTCGAATAGAAACATCTATAGTATAATCTCCTTGAAAACAGCTGTTAAATGGCTTTCGTTCGATTTCGACGCTTATAAATCATTTTATTACTAAAGTAATTATAGATTCTAAGCGATAACAGTTTATTTTTGTATCAGAAACTTTTGATTAGGCGATTAGCTGATTGATTACCCATGCATAGAATGATGCAGTCAAATGTTTAGTGCATGTGACTAAAGTGTATACGTGGGCTTTTTTCCACAAAAGGTAACATTTTTTAGGTGATTTACGCATTATTTATTCACATAAACACTCTGCCCACTATATTAAAAATCTTTCCTATTTGTAAAGCAAAATAATTTTTCAATTTATTGATATTACGTTATTGTAACCCTCATTAAAGCACATGTAAATATTTTGTATAGAAATGTAAAATTTAAATAAATATGTAAATAGAGAAATTCTATAATCTCCATCCATCAATCAGTCAGACAATCAGTCACTCAGTCAGGACAAAGAGTATTGATTAAATATTGAATTTATGTAATTGAGCAACCTGTAAACAATTAACAAAATATTCTTTTGATTTTTAAATCCATTTGATGGAAAATAGTAAAGGGTTAGCACTCTTATCTGCCAAATGTTACAAATTATAGTGAATACTGGAAAATTTGCCTTTATGACGTCAATCGAATAGACTCGACGTCTGTGATTGACAGCAACGTGTAGGAATAACGGGAGCATTTTTATATGTAGTGCATTCTCTATATGCATGATTATAAGTAAATGAATATGGTGAATACTATATATAAATAAAGATCAGCTAGGTGAAGAAAAGCTCTTACCGAGTCTGAAGCATATGAAAAAAGGCTTTGAAAGGTATTGATGGGAATATTTAATTATCCTTTATACATATATGTATATTTTCAATTAAGGTACGAAAAGACTCTAGAAAATTAAAAGTCTGAGCAACAGATTTACTGCTATTTATTTCAAACAATTGCAACGAAAAAGGATAATAAATGGGTTTAGTAAAACGAAATTTGATGTTTATAGATGGTATAAGTCAAAGATAATTTGTGTCAAGTTTTCCATTGCTTAAATATTATACATATCTAATCGTTAGCTTATCAAGTATATGTGGGCCTTATCAGGGAAATGTTATGTGAGGTCTTTTGGGTTATTTATATTTTTTATTTTTATTTTATGTTTAAATTATTGTTGTTGCTAGCCAGTCACGCGACTAGAAGCACTATATAATATATATGTTTTATGATTGGCCATTCACCTGCTTCCTCTTCCAATGTTAAGTTCAATGACTAAATTTAAAAGTGATTTGTTATTGTTGCCGATCCCGGGGGATGTTTTATATAATTATATATAAATATAAATATATAAAATCCCGTCGGCATCAAAAAGTAAACAACAACTATATATATACATATATATAAAAATATATATAATAAGATGAAAAATAACTGATTAGAAAACATCTTTAAACATATATATAGATATAAATTATAATAAGTGTTAGGCAAATATATTCAAATCTTTTCTTTTTCAAAAAAGCTAAAAGAAATAACATTCATGCTAAATATGATTAATATTGACTCATTAACATATATATGTACATATATAAGCATTTGTTAGCATAGATAATGAACTAAGGTTTGTTAGAGCATTTGTAGAGTATCTGAAAGTTGGGCGGTTTTGGACTATCAAACATTTTTTATTTCTGTTTGACTATGTTTAATCAGCTGCTTCGAAATGCTGTTATCAGTTTTATGTGCATGTTGCCCTAGTTTATTAAATTTGGTGTGATGGCCAAACTCTGGGGATTCAAAGACGCAAAGAGCAAAGAGCGATAAGTATATAAAGGTGCCAGATTAAAATAAAATATATATATATATGTACTTATAAAAGGAGCTGAAGCCTTTTAGAATATTGAATGTTTTTCTATAAAATAAAATGTAAATTTTATATACTCAATTTGAATCAACAGCTGCTATAGGGTATTTGCTAGTTAGGTTTGTCAATCCAACTTGTTTCTTATTGCACTGCATGACACTTCCCCTACCCTATACGAGACGTTCTCTTAAGTCTTAACTCTTATTTATTTCGGTTTTCGTTTCTCATTCGAAATCTTTGTCGGTATTTTTTCATTGTTTCTCATTTCCTTTGTCATTGGATCTTAACATTTTTATGAATGCATGCATTAGTAGATGCAACGTAATGTGCTTTTAGCTACACATCATAAAAGAAAAACCCGCATTAATGTTGATATTTATTATTTATGTATGTAAAAATTCCCTGTTTTATTAAAATGATTTGTTAAATTATTTTCCGAATTGCCTTTTTATTAACATTAGTAATATATCCTGTTGAAAAATAATAAATAATAATAAAAATATATAAATACATGATAATATATAAATATTTTTTGAATTGGTTTAGTATAAGAATATTCGATCAAGACCCTATTTAAAATTTTATTATTACTTTCATCTGTGTTTATTTTGTAAAAATTGATAAGCTACTTTTTTTTGGGTGATTTGATTAATGGCGTATTCAAAAACTGAGAAAATAAAATGCTCAGGTCTTGCCTGCATACATTTGTCTAATGAGTGGCAGATAGCCCATGACCGGGTCTTGACTCAATTACGGAATTTCGGGCCAATGGGGGAATATGGGAATATGTTATGCAGGAAGGCTGGAAAGCTGCTGCTTGGGGAATGCAAACGACCTGATTAGATCTGATTAGACTGCGACTTAGTTCCGCAATTAGATTGCCCCATCTGAAAGGCTCGAATAAGCCGAGTTCATGAGTTCAATCGCTATTTTTATAATTGAACTCTAGTATACTTTTTAGATGCTTACAGATTTGTAAACATATCAATGTGCATTTGCGGATCGACTAGTTGAAAGGAGATTGTCTTTGGAAAAGTACCGAACTGAAATTTTCACATACTATTTCCTAATTAAAAAGTATATCAGGTGATATGTATATTATACTTTACTTAGTAATAACAATCCCAAGTCTTCCTATTGATCAGCAATAATTCAATCAATAAGGAAAACAGTTAAATATATATGTTTGTTTATTTAGCATTTATAGAGATTAGGTCTTGTTATGAAAGGCGCCCACCTAATCATAATAATTTACCTGTAATCAGCACTTTATGTCAAAGAAAATCCCCATGCTTTCACAACAGCAGCTACTCAGGTTGGCACTCACATCTTGCATCTCGCATTTTGACATTTGCGCAGTCTAATTAAATCAGCAAAAAAAATCAAATGAAAAAGGGGAAAGAAAAACGTATATGTTGTAACTAATTTATTTGTAGTTTTATTATATTTTTTTTCGATTATCAGTTGGTTTAATGATTTTTTGAAATTCAGATTTGTGGCAAGGCATACGCGAGATTAGTTAACATTTGTTTTGAGCGTGTTCCCAGAGCCAAAGGCTTGTGCTCTGAACCTCAGAACCCACGCGAGATAATTTAACGCACATGCAATGTGAGTGACAGTTGCAGTTCATCTCATCAAGTCGCTCCTCTAGGTACGTTCATAGTATGTGGGTATTAATAGACAAGGTTTATGGGTTGTTGTGTCGTGTCGACGACCAAAGCACCTTCAATCCGTTTTGGACTCTGTCTATCATCATTTGAAGGCATCCTTATCGCAAACGCCACTGTGCACTTAAGCGAAATATAAATAATTGCATTTATTTTTAGATCGAATATTTTAAGACAACAATTAATCAGAAATCAAATAGGCGTGTTTGAGCTTGATGAGGAAGATTTTATTTAAAGATTACAACGGATTGAGTCGAGTAGTTAAACTAATAAACATATATGTATGCTTGTATCTTTTGTATATGAATACTTCAGCAGGATTAATCGAAATAAAATCATAGAAATAATTTTAACAGAGAAATAGGGTGAGATTAGATCATTTCAAAATCGTATATGAAATGTTCTTCGAAATGCATTTTGATTGCAAGCTATTTAAAGATTTGAAATAAAGCGCCACAATGTATATCGATATATCGTATAGAAACAAGGCTGCAAGCTGTGTGGCCGGCACATGAGCTGCAACTCTGTAAATCGATACATTTGAGGCGGTCGTCGATAGCTGTGCATTGTTTCTCATAAGAGTAAACAAAAATCCTGAACAATAAATAAAACAAGTGCACAAGGATGGTGAGTAACCTCTCTCAGCGATATTTTTATTGTTATTGTTGTTAAATATTTAGAACTAGTGCAGTAATTAATTGATAGAGTGACATTTCATACATATTTGGAACGAAGTTGTAGATGGGCGAACAATTAGCTGATTACAAGAAATCTTTATAATTAATATAAATTGTGTTCCATGCCTGCGCCGGCAACGGCATCTGCCAATGACAGCGTCGATGCTTGGTCTGGTGAGCGCTTGCCGCCCCAGGAGTGGAAGCGCTGCTTCTTGCCGAGAACCACCGAATTGCGTTTGTCATCCCTCTGGACCTTGAGGCGACAGCGCTCGATGACCGCATCCCTGATGATGGAGGCAAACTCCAGGTCATTGAACTGTGCCATTAGCAGCTTGAAGAAGGCCCAAATCTCGCCACGCTGCGATGTTGGTGGTGGCGCATATTGATCGAATAGCCAGGTGTCGGAGGTGCCGGGGCCATCATCTGGAGCCAGGCGTCGTGAGTTGTAGGCATCGCACACATCCTCGAAGCTGAGTATGGCCTGCAGTATGAAGCGACGATACTTGCCCAGCTGCAGCTCGCAGGTGCTCAGCTCCAGATCCGTGGCCGTGTGTGTGGGCAGAGCATAAAGCGGGCTACAAGTGCCGAGGAGCAGCAGCAGCAGGCGCCAGGTGGACAACATGCTTGGATTCAATGTGCTCGATGGCTAATCCGTCTGCAAGCGAAGCGCGTATGTGTTCGCAGATTGGCAAGATGAGCAACTGTGCGCTGGATGGCCACTTTCACTGGCTTTATATAGCAGTCAGGCAGCCCATCAGCAGCAGCGATGTAGTCCTGCCCCACTCCTCACAGACGGGCGACTGCGAACTTTGAAGTTCATAAAATAATTATAAAACGTTTCTCGTTTACATTTCTAAACCGTTACACACGGCTAAAGAGCGAGTCCTAATAAGCAGATGGCTTGGAGCGGGGGAAGGCACGCGTACTTCGTTCAGCAACAAGTGTCATAAATTTACGGCGTGCTTTTAAGCTGCTAACGGCTGCTCATTTGTTTTTTACTTTTAATGTAACTCTCCCACGCTGCAAATTTATTAATTCCGGCCATAGATAAACGTGACATCCACTTGAAGCCGAGGCGCCACTCGCAGTGGCCTTTATATGCACAAGCTGCTCATTAGCTTGCGGGCAGCCAGTAGCGCACGCCAGCTACCCCTGTACCCCGCCCATCTGTCCGTCCCTGCTGCAAATTGTGCACCCCTTTGTCGGCAGCCTTGTCAGGCAGTTGTACAAATTGCTCGCTGATTAGCAGGCAAGCGTATGAAATTAATCATATGCAAATACGAGTGTGCGCTACACTCTACGCATTTCATTCTCTCTCAACACTCGCAGTCTCACTTCGTCCTTCTTGCTTATTGTGGCCGCCTGGTCTTTAATTTACTTGAGACATGACGAATGTTGCGTAGGCGTGAAGTAAGGGCAAACAAGTAGCTAGTTGTGAGGGTTGTGCCTAGTCCTTTTCTTTTTAAGGCCCTCAAACATATCTACATATATGATATGTAATAATTTTCCCTTGCCTATAGAAATTTCGCTTTTGTGGCGATGGCGATTGTCCTGATTGGGTTCTGGCCGAAATCATATCGACGCTTTCGAATCTGAGCGTCGACAATGTGGAGCAACTGGCGCAGCTGGTGGCCAAGCGCATCTGCGGTGAGCCCTTCGAAGTAAGTAGCTTAGAAATATCTATATAAATCACATTTAATTCTACATTTTCTTATAGGAAGCGGCAATCCGATCTCTAACGTCGACTGCCTCAAATGATGGCAAAACTGCTGTGGCCTGTGTGCACTACATGCTCACCAATGCGGCGCGCTACAGTTGCACAGAGGCCATCTTCAATGAGGAAATACAGCAGCTAGGTCTGCCCAAGGATCATGCAAAGGCCATGTCTAGCGTGCTGCAAGCAAATGCGATGGCTATACGGCAACAACTTATAGATAAGGCATTTAGAAGTAGGTATTTACATACATGAGCATTGCATGTAAAATCTGTGATAAGATAGGTCATCTATCCTAAATGTAAACTGTATATGATTTTTTTAAATCTGTGATAAATCATATATGATTATTATCTATTCGTGATCATCTATTTCGTGATCCTTGCATGATTTGATTACCAATATTTCATCAGATCACAGTAAATCATATATGATTGAGCACTAATATATCATAGTATGGATAGCCGATGATTTGCATTATGACATCATTATACCATGTTGCTTTTATATATCATCCAACTTTATATACATATATATTTAAATGTTTTTCATCTGGTATATGGTATTAATCCCTATGTATTTCCCTGCTCTTTCAGTTAACGAGCTGCAAAGCATACGAAATGTTACTTCACCTGGCGAAACACCTCCAAACTGTGCCACCTTGGAATTGAAAATCTCGCAGGAACTGGTCGACGGGTTGCCTAAGGATACCACGCACATTGTTAATATAGAGTGCGCACAATTGGGTGCACTGCTCGACGAAATGAAATTGGCTCGTGATATTATGCTTAAATACGAGAGTAAAGAAAGCGGATAGAAATAAGTAGCATGAGTAAAGTAAAATGGGAAATACTTTAAACTGTGTCGCAGTTGTCTATTGCAACAGTCTGCACAATTTCGCATTAACCTCGCTGGTAATTATTTGTTGTGCAAATCATATCTAGCAGTTGTAACTAATTAAGGAAAATTATTGTTTAAGCAGATGCGTAAATAATAAAATAACCTAAGTATCGTACTTTTTGTTCTTTTTTTCAGATTTTATTGACAAGTGTAAGTTAATTATTTGAACTAAGTTGTTTTTACGTGTATATTTCCGTTTTATATATACCTTATATAAAATTGAAATTTTAAAAATTATTTCATATAAAACATCGAATTCTTATTTTGTTTCTCAACCAATACAATTTTCGAAATTAAAATGGTTGCTATATATGCTACGTGTGGTTTGTGTCTTGGCTAGCGCTGCCAACCATTTTGCTGTTATGTTAACATGGTGAAAATATGTTAAAAGGGCATCGATTCTGTACAGTAAATGGAATAGGGAAAATTTTGTATTAAAAATTAATTTATATAACTACATAAATAAATATTTAAAAAATATCAAACTATTATTAATTAATTTTTAAACTAGAAAACTTAAGGCAAATTTTTAAACTAAACTTCAAGATTTCAACAATTCAAAATTCTCTTTTTATAATGTAAATAATTTTAAATACATTTATTAATTAATATAATTCAAAATAATTTGATTTTAATAATTTTGTATTCATCATTGTTATCTTTTTATTTTATTTTGTTTTATTGAATTTTATGTTAAATTGTTCTTTATAATTGCCTTATGTGTTAGATATATAAACTAATGTATTCTCACGGAATGTATATACATTACATACACATATGTATAATTAAATTAGGATTCTGTATTTATTTTCAGATTTGCAATTCACTAATTTGGCGTGTCGCTGCCTTATCGCCTACTCCCTTATAAATTACACTCGTAAATGTCACCAAAAATCAACCACAATTTGAGCCCTTTTGCCCCTTTTGTCTGACCAGGCTGCCACGCCTCCCCTTCATCGTAAACTGTGTCAAATTTAATCAACTGGCGCGGAGCAACCTGCGCCGTAGAATTCTCAAACTGCCTTCGCCCAATTATTAATTATAATAACGTAACGTGCGGCGTGAATAAAGTGAAATTTGTTAATAAAACGAAAGATGGGCAAAAAGTGAACCCTTTTACCCCCAAAAATTTAACCTTTATTTTTCTTCTTCTACATCTACTTTTACTCGCACGTTGCTCCATTTTGCCACTGGCTCGACCTTATCATCCGGTTTTCCACGGCAATTACCGGCGCATCCGCCGGACAGGGCGGGTTATTAAAATTATCTGCAGTAGCTAAAAAGAGAAGTAAAATGTGAGTAAAACTGAAAGAAATTTCAATTAAAACAACGCCAACAGGAATAAATTAATATTGCTTTTTTATTTTTTATTTTACTCTCATTTTTTTTTTTTACTGCTTCCAATTCTAATTATGAGCAGCTGCGCAAGCATCAAATGTCGCACTCAGCATTTGAATTGTTGATTTTTTCCAGCTTCTTCTTCTCTAATTATATTATATATATGTGCGTGTATATATATTTATTTTTTTCAATTAAACTTGACCATGTCAAAGCGCGAAAAAAGTCGCGAAGTTCTTGACATTTGAATTCCCTAAGATTCGCTGCATTGCAGGGGTATATTCATTTCATTCTAAAAGTATGTATGCATATATGTGTGTACGTTCGTACGTATGTATATTATGTACGTATGTAAGACGCTGTTTTTATATATCCTGCTATCTGACTACAAACACTTAATATGTATAAATACAAATAAAATATAAAATAAAAAACATCAAATCTGTTGCCCAATTGACTTACGAGCTCTTCTAAGTTCGTTTCAAGTCAGCGATATATCTTCAATCTTATCTTAAATTTTATTTAAATTAAAGCTAAGCTTTTCCAGTTATGCAAACATTTGATCTATAAATTTTAAGCAAGGACTTACAATTCTTCTATGAGTGGTCTATAGGATATCTTCTAGTCGGATACTTCTGACTAAGGCATTCATACTTGTCGCCATTTCACTTTGATTGCGGCGCAGTGCTTATTTCTTTAGCTCAAATTTTTCTCTTGACTGCCACATGTTGCCGACACTTGCAGCAGTTGCTTGCTGCCCACTCCTCCTCCATCTCTCTCTATCACTCTCTCTCTCTCTCACACTTTGATTTATGATATGCCTGGGCAACTTGCAGCACTGTCACCTGGACGCCTTAATTAAATTTCAGCTGGAGCACTTCCAATGAACTATCATCCTGCTAGGCGAGTGTTTCCCATAGGTAAATAAGTGCACCAATTACTGGGGCAACTATTTGCCAAAGTTGTCGATATTTGCGAAAAGTGATATCTAAACATTGGCTGGGCTGTCTTTGAATGGGCGTCATGTAAATGTAAATAGCCCAGCAATATAAACAAATTGGGCACGTAACTCTCGTTCGGGTGTTACAAGTGGGCTTACGTAACCAGAATTTGTCTGATGACTGTGATATACAGTGGGCGGAGCAAAGAGATTTTCTAATTAATTAATATTAAATCATTTAGAAATATGGCATTTCTCCACCAATAAATACGATTATATTTAAATAAATATAAATTAAAATTCAATAAAATAAATTAAACAAGTACAATTAAAAAAAAAATATATTACAAACATATTATTAAATTTTTCTTCTGATATGCTTAAAAAAAAATTAAACAGATATATAAATATACATATATAGAGATTAATTTATCAAAATTATTGCTTTTATAGCAAAACTTATTGCAAAAATTTATATATTCTATATTACTTCATATCTTAAAAAAATCTATTATTTTCCTGAATGAAAATATAAAATGTTTTTAAATGTTATTTATTTTTTATTTATTTATTTTTTTATTTTTTTATATGCGTATCACCAAGAAAGCGTTAAAGCGCAATTTTTGTATTTTGCAAAAAAATTCTATGAGTTTCTATATTTATATATATAAAGAAATAAAAGATTATATTCCCATTGAATTCGAAGTAAAAGTATCATATTTTACTATCATTAAATAAATGATCTCTTACAAACACGTTTTTTACTTTTCAAGTGTAAGTTGTCTTCCTCTTTGAGCACCCTCGTGGAGCATTCAAGGCGAGTGAGTTACATACGTCATAGCCCCATCCCTTGAGAAATTTTAATCAGGCGCTGGTAACGCCTAAACATGTGTACCCTTCATCTATCTGTCTCTCACACCCTCTTTCTCTCTCTCTCTCTCTCTCTCTGTCTCTCTCGCTCGCTGCTTTAACTGGAAATGCTGTCACATTACGCGGCTGTTACCATATCTTTACAACTGTATCTACAGATCGTCCTCCACGCACTTATATGACAAAGCACAAAACTTAAAAACCTTATGCATGTGATTTGAGGTTGACTCGCCGAGGGGTGGACACCCAGCACAAGTGTCAGCCTACTTATACCCTGTAAATTTACAGAATGAGTGGAGAGACTGAAGGAACCATAATTCGTTTCATATGATTTATGAATAATATATATATATTTAAATATGTATAAATTAATATATCTCTAAAAGAATCTATAATAAAATTTGAAAACACGAAATTTAGGGAACTCTCTATATTATTTATATGTAAAAAAAAAAACTTAGATTCAAAATAGATTATAATAATACTGAAGTAAACTGAAGTATAATGAAGTATATTTCCATAGTTGGTAAAGCAGTTGTAAAAGTAAAATCCATTTATAGGGTATCTATTAGTTGGGCAGCCCAAGCAGATAGTTGTTACTTGTGTTAGCCTGCTGTTTTGGTAAGGGTTTATTTATATTTTTCTGCTCTTTCGGGCTGAGTGAGCCGCTTGACGGGGTGTTCGGTGGTGGGCTTCCTGGTTGTTTTGTTGCTAGTACTTCCGTTACGGTTTTTACTTTAGCCACGATGCCACCCCCGGTGGGTGGGCCACTTTAGTCACCCCTCAGGCCTTTGTTTGGTGCGCCCGACACAATTCTGACTTTTTCAATTTGACTTTTGTGCAGGGCCACTGCCAATGCAGTGAGTGCTGCGGATGTTTTCCCCCTCATGAGTAATAATGAAATAAACGTTTCGCTAAATGCCTGCGTATTTGGCATGAGGCAACGAAGCCTGTGCCAGGAGCTGGGGCCGGGGCTGCGAATCGTTTAATTTGATGAGCTTTTCTGGATTTGTGGGGGCAAGAGAAATCTGAGAGATAAATGCATATATTGCTATAGTCTAGCGATAATTCTTCTTTTATTTTTAAAGCCAACTAAGTCTATTTTAGAATACAAAAATTGTAAATTATTATAATTTAATATTTGTTGTTTTATTAATTGGTTAGCAATATTATAATAAAGTACTATTAGCTACAAACAATTTCAGCTTAGACTTAATGAGCAAATCTTTAAGCCCTCTCTGGGCGTTATTTCATTTGGTAGTGAATTGATCGAATATCTTTGATATTGTCTATGAAGGCACTCGCAAATTGGAATTCGGAATTCTGTTGTTGCTTATACTTTGGGATTCATGTGAGCCACCTAAAGCTGCAACATTCCCTCAAAGGAGCCTTTGTGCATAAGAGAGAATGTACGTCCAGAGGGACTTATCTGATTGGCTGTCGGATTTTTACTGAAACTCTCAGCCGCAGTTCATTTAATTAGTCATCTTGATGGCTACCCTCTTTGAGTTTTTAGTAGTGTCGAGTCCAGTATATGAGGCACACCAATTAGCTTCATTCCTGTTTCGGGTATTCGTCTCAGATATTTTTTGATTATATTATTTATCGAGCATTATTTGGGTATGTATATGCTTGTACTTCTCCTGTATGACTTACACAGATTAAACAAGTAAGAAGGCTCCAGTCGAAACGGCTCGACTAGGAGATACCCTGAACCCTCTAAGCTGATACTCTAGTTATTCTGCACTTCTTTTATGCACACATACATACACATGCATCCACACGCACGCATAAGCCTGCACTCTGCTAACTGCGCAGTAAGCAGCGACTGCGCTTGGGCTGCGCAGCAGTGTGGGCAATATTATGAGAATTTATTTGTTGGATAATTTCTTTTGTAGACATATGATCCTAATGAAACTTTCTGAGCGTAATCATATGGTAAATATGTGTATACATTCCAAAGCACAAGTCTCTAGTACTTGAAATGCGTTTTTTACAAATTGGGGGTGAAGGGGGCATGGTATCCAAAATGTGAAAATAACAAAATCTTTTTATCGATTAACTTTATATACAACACGAATTTGAAGACTCCAGGTCTAAAAGTGTTCAAATTAGGCTGAAAAAACAATGTCGATTTTTCGATTATTCTCGATAAAAAAGTTATCGGATGAGTTATCGAAAAAATAAAGCAAACTTGTACTGCCTATGGTATACACGAGTATGCATGCCAAATTTCAGCTCTCTAGCTCTTATATCTTCTGAGATCCTTTTGCTCATACGGACGGACGGACGGACGGACGGACGGAGGGACGGACGGACGGACGGACGGACGGACGGACAGACGGACAGGGCTATATCGACTCAGCTCGTCGTCCTGATCAAGAATATATATACTTTATGGGGTCTGCGGTGATTCCTTCTGCCTGTTACATACTTTTCACAAAACCATTATACCCTGATTTCCCATTTTCAATGGGTTCAGGGTATAAAAAGCTCTCGCTGTGCTCAACTATTCAAATGTTTACTATAATTGGAGAAAGGCTCGTTATGATATATCATTATTTATAACTCGGACCAATAGTATATATCCAATATATATATATAAGACCAAGTCTCATACGACTTCTTATAGATAAATTAAAATCTAGCTCTGTTTTATAGCGGACTTTAAAGTCTCTCACTGGCCAGCTTAATATTAATATTAACTTCCTCTGCTGGATGCTGCAAACACCTGAGCAGAGAAATTGTATGCTTCACCGTTGCTGTTGCCGTTGCCGTTGCCTTTGCGTTTGCCACGCGGCTATGTTGATCGACTGCTTCGCATTAATCAGCGCATAAATTTAACGCATTATTATTTATGTGCCTGCTCTCAGCGTAGTTGTTGTTGTTGTTGTTGTTGTTGTTATTGCTACGGATTTCATTTCGAAATAGAAATTGTTTTACAAATGTCACGCCCCGTTGCTGGGCGCGGGAGGTGGAGCAACAACAAAATAAATGGCGCTAAAATGATTCAATTACGCGACAGCCCCAACTCCTACTCCAACTCCTGCCCCAGCCCCAACAAGCGAAAAAATGAAACGGAAACAGGTGGCAGCTCAGGCGACAAATTTTTTAGAATTGAAGCCGGGCATGGGTAAAATTTGTAGACGTGTTTATTGGCGGCGCCCGCAGCTGCGTTCCGCACGCAAAGCCCAAGCCCAAGGAGAAGTCGAAATATAATAAGCGAAAATAAGATTTTAATTGCCACTTTATGGGTTCCGCTGAATGCCATTTTAATGCCAAGCGCAACACCTGCGAATCCCTACCCCAATTTCGGGGCAGAGGCACCTCCGCGTAAATGTCGAGCACATTGGACTGCACTAATTGCTGTGTACTCATCCGATTTCCCATTGCCAATTGCCAATTACCAATTGTCGATTTTCGATTGGATGCGAGCGCCTTGATCAGATTTGCATCCTGCTCCGGGCAGCAGGAGTGGACGTCCAGCTTCAGCTCGGTGTCAGCTTTCAATGTTTGCTATTGCGCATTTGCTGGACCTCTTACTTATCCAAGGCGCGCTAAATGCGCTATTTCCACTTACCCACTCAGCAGCTCTTCCGCTTCCCCTTCCACTTTCTCATCCTCTTCACGCTTCAGTGAGCGCAGGCTGAGCGAATTTTTAAGTGGGTTCGCCATGGTCTGTGGGTCCAGTTGGGTTATCCACGCTATTTCACTTTATTTAATGTTGTTTTTCTTGTCATCGCGAGTAAATCAATGTTGTTGTCTTAATTTATGATTTCATTACTTAAATTGTCTGCAAATAAGTGTGAGATATCCCCATAATACTATTTCGCAATTATAAGTACGGAAGGAGAAGGAAGACAGCGATTAGGTAAAGAGTGGTAAATTATATAATATACAGAATATATAATATATAATATAGAACATAGAATATAGAATGTGAAATATAGAATATAAAATATATAGAATATAGAATATAGAATATAGAATATAGCATATAGCATATAGAATATAGAATATAGAATATAGAATATAGAATATAGAATATAGAATATAGAATATAGAATATAGAATATAGAATATAGAATACAGAATATAGAATATAGAATATAGAATATAGAATATAGAATATAGAATATAGAATATAGAATATAGAATATAGAATATAGAATATAGAATATAGAATATAGAATATAGAATATAGAATATAGAATATAGAATATAGAATATAGAATATAGAATATAGAATATAGAATATAGAATATAGAATATAGAATATAGAATATAGAATATAGAATATAGAATATAGAATATAGAATATAGAATATAGAATATAGAATATAGAATATAGAATATAGAATATAGAATATAGAATATAGAATATAGAATATAGAATATAGAATATAGAATATAGAATATATAATATATAATATAGAATATAGAATATAGAATATATTACAATGTTATGGGATTATTATTATTTACATTTGATTGTTTATAGATTTAAGTTAACTTTGATATTGTTTTCAATAGTTGTTTCATTAAAATTGTATGTCTGTGTGGGAGGACCTTTTTTCAGTTTGAAATGTAAGTGAATTTTTCAAATCCCGACTGAGACTATGATTCCATTATTAACGGGTCTGTGTTTACTCTAGACTAATGATGAGTATTAGCAGTATAAGCTGAAAATTGAGTTTTACAGAGCTCGGCTTTATCAAAATTGTTTGCGATAGTCCAGCAAATCATCGCAATCAGTAGCTGATTGCGATGTGTATGAAGCTTTAACGTTTTGGTTGTGGAATTCCAGTGCCGAGGGCGTGTTGTGGACCATGTGGACGGTGCTCATCTGGATATTCGAAATGCTGCTTTACCTGCTGTGGATTATACCCAGAGAGATTTTGCGGTCCCTGCAGTAAGTCCTTTTTAGATCCAGCTCGGCTCAGCTGACTGGCCCCAAATAACCGCTGCAATTTTTAGCTGGGCTATTGTAAATATTAAGCCAATGGACTTTTAATAAATCTCAAGCAATAGACAAATAAAAACTGACCTGAAAGTCTTATTGGATTTAGCTTAGCGCTAAGTGTATGGTAGTATGCGATTTTATATATGTATAATACATATATATTCGTCAAAAGTCTCAAGTCTCTCTCCATCTTAATGATATTATTTGCGAAACAGCTCAATACCTGAACCTTAACTAAAATCAATCGTAAAATAGTAATAAATATTTATTGTTGCTGTTATTGTTGTTGTGCCCTGGTAACACATGTAAAGATTGTAAAAATGAATTTTTATTGTTGACCATGGCAGGGCACGGCAGTGCCAATGCCCGTGCCCGTGCCCGTGTTCTGATACGCCCCTCAAATTTTAAAATCAGGAATTGACGATTATGCAAAAATCCACAATACACCTTTATGGCTGAGTCGGATTTGTGGGCAAGGGCCTGGCGTGGTGCGACATATGATTTCTTACCACCTCCTGAGTATGACATTTGTTTTATGCCTACTTCAGGCGGTGGACGCATAAGGCAACACATGAGAACGGCCTGCGATAAAAGTTAAATATGCAAAAAGATGAAAATCTATAATTTTTTATGAGTTTTCCCTGCGACAACGGCCGGGCCGGGAGCACGGATCAGCCACAGAGGCAGGCAGCCCTGTTGCCACATTATGTCGCATTTTTATGTTGCTTACTCGCGTGTGTTGTTGCCACTAATTTGCCACGCCCAACCCCAAATGCCGCCCGACTTCGAGCCGACTGGGCCGCAATTTGTTGCGGTTTTTCGGCATTGGCGAAATTTTGCGCAATTTTTACGATTTGAGATTTGCACGAATTATATATATACTTTTATAGTTTTACAATATGTCGACCCAGTTCGATCATCAAAGCTGCATTTGCTGTTGTTTTGTATTAAATATATATATAAGTGTTTGTGCGTCTGTCGTTGCGTCTTTTCTGAAATGGGAGGAGGAGTCTAAAGGCGCCTGAAGCAGAAGTTAGAACAAATGAAATGAATCGCATGGAAACGAACTCGTAGCAGAGAAGTTTTCCTTGATATCTCTGCATACATTGAAAAAGGGTATTGAGAGAATATAACTTTTTTTTTTATTTTATTTTATTTTTTGAGAGTGAGTTTGATATCATTATAACTAGTATAAGTAATTGACAAATATTATTGGAGGGAAGCTGTTGTAGTCATGATTTTAATTCCTTTACATATACCATCCCATTTATCTGATTTCTTTTATTATTTTAGCACCTATAACTAATTTATGGTTCATCATTAAAGTTTTAAGAATGTCGCGATTTTTCGAGAAATAAATACCAAGTATTGAATGTAGATTCTCAGATAGCATATATGAAGCATACACAGATCAGATGTTTATCAGCTTTGTTATCAGATTCTTAACTAAAGGACTCTGCTTATGCAGAATTTCTATTATTACAAGCTTATTTGGATAAAGAGAATATTTGAAATATTTCACTAGTTTATTGAATAATTTGTTTACCTCTTCCAGTTGATTTTTTTAAAGCTCATTTCAATAAATTTGTAATGCCCGCTTATGGTAGATATTCTATGATATCGGCTCGAACATCATCAAAAATTGTAGCACGTGTTTGGGCTGACGACCCAAAGAAGGAATCGACTCTTTGCTGCATCGGGGGTAAAAACAACCCGCGCTTTGTTTTGCCCACTTTTTTATTTTTAATGGGCGTTGCCGCAAAACAAATCCCACGGCTTGTAAACTCTGTAAAATGTTATCTCTAATGCTTGGAATTTAAATTTTTGGCGCATAATTTACATGAACATTAAACGAGCAGCAAACAGCGACATCCACATGAATGATGAGGCGTCGGCACGCGGCCAACCGCAGATATCCAGCAACAGTGCCCCGCCCCCTTGTCAGAGGCCTTACGCCTTCCGGCTTCCGGCTTCTGCCTCCGGCGAGCCGTGGGATGTGCCAACAGGCAACTATTAAACGGCTAATGGCAATTTCATTGTATGGCCAGATATTAGTTACCCGATAGCCAAAGCGAGTCACGGCCACATGTTTTGTTGTGATTACATGCGAGTTGACACGCCGCTTCGCCGCTTTCCTAGGGTGTCTCGGCCACGTGACCAGGTCACGTGTCGTCGATTCGGCCACAAACAAAATGCTACAAGTTATTCTGCTTGTCATACTCTGCGAATGGAGCATATTAACTCGGCAAAGTATTTAGTGCTGAGCATTGAATTAATTTAGTAATTGACAACAAAAATATAAATATTACTAAAATATTCTTAGAATTTATAAGTATTGCAGAGTAAAACCAATTATATTCTATAATCATATAAGCTATAGTTAAAATTTAATACTTTTACTAACTCACAGTTTTTTCATTGAATAAACAACCAATTTATAAATAACAAAAATAAAAATGAAAATAATAAAATTATAATAAATCAATACTTTATTTTCCTAAAAATCAGATTGTGAACATTAAATGTGTATTTATATCTATATCTAAAATTATTTATTATTAATATTGTAATTATATTAATTTGATATTAAATATAATGATAAATTTTTTATTAAATTATTTACAAGAAATTTAAATATTTTAAATATAAAATAATGTATATTTAAATAATAATTAAATAATATATAAATAAAAAGTATTTTTTGTTTAATTTTTTAATATTAATACAATAATTTATTAAAATAATAATTGTAATAATGAATTTATTAGAAGTCTGCTTTAAGCTTTTAGCTTTGATCCAATTTCTAATCTTTTTCCTTCGTTCAACAACAATTAAAACTCAAAATAAGTTTTTTTTTCATACAAAAGATTTGAAATATTGTAATAGGTTTAATGCGATGTTAATTAAGTTTGATTGGTATTTAGCTACTAAAATTTTAGTTTGAAAGACATACATGAACAGAAAATCTATTTTAGTCAATATTCTCAAGTTTTAAATTAATATTCTCATCATAGCAATGTTGCAAAACTACGAAGTGCACTTTATGAAAAGACGTAAAATAATGAAAGTCTTACGAATGGATTCCAAATCTTTATACGGCAAATATTTATAGTCTTATAATTAGAGTATGGAAAGATTTACATATATTAGAGAACTATTTTTATTATTTATATATATTGCTATTATAATCTAGTCTCAATCATTATCTCACTCCATGACATTATATTACATTACATGCATCTCGTTAAGGGTATTCAAATGTCGCATTGAGCTAGTTTTTTTTTTGTTTTTTTGTTTTTTGTTTTTGCTTTACTCCTAATGTTTGTATCTTTTTAATGTAATCAAATTATGAAAATAATATGAGAGCGTCCGTAAGTCAAGTTGCCAAAATGTTGAGTGATTGTTTTCGCACGGCACCCCTCTCTCCCTCACCCTGTCTCTCTCACTCTCTGGGCGTCGGCCTAGGGCTGCCTGCTGAGATTCACTTAAGCCAGCCCTTTGGGGGCGACCAAATAAATTATATTTAAAATGCTAAGCCCTGGTACCCGTACCAGTCAGCCAGCCTTCCAGCCAGTCAGTCAGTCACCCAGTCAGTCAGTCAGCCAGTCCCTCGTCTACATACTCCTCCCAGTGGGTGTTTCTATTTCAACACTCGAGACCCACTCGGAGCGCTCCAATTGGATTTATGTTTGCGCTTAGAGGCCCACCAGGGTGGTTGAGCGTTGGGTTGGTGGCTTTGATGGGCTCGTGGGTCGCTGGGCTTTTCGGTAACTCGTCAGACCGCCCACGAGGATTTGCTTATTGCTTTTAAAAACATTAAACTCTTGCGCTCTGCCACTCTGGTGTTGTTCTTGTAATTGCTTGAGCCGACCCACTGTTTTTGCTTTCCTCTCAGTCGTCAAAATGACACATCACGAACTTTTTTAATTTGTTTATGATAATTTACGTATTAGACAGTGTCCGGAGTCATGTCCAGTAATCATTTATTATGGGGAACGAGGTGAATGTGAAACACCTGTAAGAAAATCATTGAGAAAATGGCGATTTGGGTTTGATAATAATTCACGAGTTGGCTCAACCGCTGAATACTTGTCTAGAATTTCAGCATTGTTATAAACAGGTTAGTCGCAGAATATGAAAATAATCACACTTCCATTCAAACTGCATGGGATGGGAGAAGGCCAGATATACTCTCTTAAATTTGGCAGCGGGTATCAAAGCATGATTCAGAGCAGTTCATTAATTGATAAGCATTTATCGCAAAGTAACGCGGCAAGCGCAGATCCTTGAAGCCATTCAACTTGCAAGTGGAATCCTTCAGTGGCTCAGTCAGTGCAATCAATCTCCAATGCGGGCTCTGCTCAAATGCTGTGCGCAATATGCGCAGATTAATTAATTTGTATTACATGCATAGATATACGCACACACACATACACACGCGCAATAAGTCAAGTCGTTGTTGTACAATAATTAATCAAATCAAATGCATAAGTTTCGGTAATCACATGCGTTCCATTTGTAGCAACAACTGGGAAATCAAATCAGCGCCCGAAATGCGCTTAACTTGCATGTCAATTACAGCTGGCGAATAACTGCCCCGCCTCCCGTCTCCTGCCTCTTGCTATTTACGCCTGCCCTCCGCCCCCTGCCTCCACCTCAGCTAATATTCAAAGTCAATTGGCGGAACTCATGAACTTATCGCAAGGGGCTCGCATTGCCATCCATAGATCGGGGTTTGAGTCGCGATTATTCATGCCGCACGCACAAAATGCAAATCGAATGCGAATCACTAAAACGCGAAATTGGCAACGGCGCGCGGCGAGCCCACTGAATATCGATACGATTTTCATTTTGGCCAATTTCATGCTAAATATGCCGCCATTTGCGTTTAATAGTTGATAAGCCCGTGGAAGCAGGCCACAGCCAAGATGCAAATTCAAGCTGTGGCCGCAACCAATTGAATTACTCTCGCCGGGGCTTCTCTAAGCATGTCATCTATTGGATAATGAAGTAATTCAATTGAAAATTTAATTTTGTCTGATTAGACTTATTTTGTATTATGCAAAAGGTCGAAAACAT